CACAAAGTTAAAAGTCACAGTACAGACAGAAGGATTTGGCACGAGTGACATTTTTCTTGTTCTGCACACAAGGGAGATGAATACTATTTATGGTTCGAGAAAAACGTTCAGTAGATCTTTTTGCAGTTTTTGGCCACATCTGTTAATAGTGTCCTCTTTCTTATCACTTTATACCAATGTGCTCATGAATTGGGACAGTGTGTTTGCAGATACTCCCATCCTTATTATCTCTTTTCTTCTTTTGTATTTGAAATATTTTCTTGGACTGAGACATGAAATACTTCAAGCAGTAGATATTAAACAAGCTTCAAAGATAAAGGTACTTTCACACACTAGGGTTAAAATGTTTACCACTGAAATATATTTTAAACATTTGTATCAATAGTATCACGCTTTTGCACATTACGATATACCTACATAGGCTACAAATCTGGGGATGCAGTTCTTCAGCTAAGATGGACCCATGAATAATTTTTAGTAAAAGACAAGGATAAGATACATACCATGCTAAGTGAGTGAACTTTGAGTCCACAGAGCATGCTACTACTTCAGTATTTATTGCTCTGAATTCTTCAATTCTGTCACTGAAGGCGATTATCTCGGTTGGACATACAAACGTACTAGATAATTTGAAACGAGATAAAATTTCATGAGATCCAGTAAATTCTCTGTTTAACTTAAAATAGTGCATTTATCATAAATTATTTCAGCTGTTACTTATTTTTTATTGCTTCAAGTATTTAACCAAAGTGCTGCCTGACAAATCTTCCAGCCTCAGACTCTACCTTAGTTACAGTCTATTACTGAAGATTATAAACCTACAGTTAGCTTACAATCTGGATACAAGTATTTTTAGTTACTTTCTTTTAGACTTGATGAATATTAAGTGCCTGAATTTAAGCACAATATGCCAAGTTTTTTCAAAGGAATGTACTATAATTTCTTGTTAACTTTAACTATTTTGACTTCAACTTTTTCCACTACAGAAGAAATAAAGTGATAAAGATAAAAATTTCTAGGGCCTTGAAGCTAAGGGCCAAGAGCCATGTTAAGGTAGTTGTGCATCTCTGTCCTTCATTTTGTGGAAAAGAATGGGATTGTCTGGTAGAAAGCTGAGGTGGTTTTGCTCAACCAGTGAAGTTACTGCATTCTAAATAAAGGAGGGTCATGTCAGGTATTCTTAGGATGTTATGGGAAGAACTTAAAGGGAAAATGCCATCTCTTAATGTCCTATATACACTCTGGAAAATATAGATAGGATGCTGTCTTCTGTTTGCAGCAGTGATTTACAGCATTGTATAGAATGTAAAGGTTGCTACAGACTGAAAGTTATTTTTTTTGTCTGAAGACACAAATCGGTGGACACGCTTACTAGAACAAAAATTGTGTTACGATTTTACTGATGCCTGATGAAAACACAAATTCAAAGAATGTATTTTTTTTCTGTTGTTCTTTTTTTCTCTCCCAAGCCCTTACCAAACAAAAAACCAAGACCTCAAAAAAAGAGAAAAATTAAGCTGCACTCAGTTTTGGTATGTCTACAGTGGTCTTACTTACAAGTCAAGAGGATAGAAGAAGAAGACAAGATATTTTCCTTCATAATCTGTTAATTTCAGCTCTTTAAACTCTCCATTAATGACTGCAGTTCCTTCCCAGTAAGGTGCTGGCTTGGAGACTGAAACACAAAAAACGTTCAGTTAGAAGTCAGAATATGAAGCACGTGTTCAAACAAAGCTGTTCGTTAGCTACCTTGTGTGCAAGGAGAACTGCTCTGTTGCTTGAAAAACAACCTACTGCACACAGTTACAAAATGAAACTTTCTTACCACTTCAAAAAGTTCACAGAGGTTACAGAATGATGAACAAATGCAGGTTTCAGTACACATAGAAATAAGTAAATAATTTGACCAACTTGTGCTTATACATGAGCCCGTTGAATCACTGATAATCAAGGCCACACAAACCTTATCTGGGCATACTGAACAAACCACGTGTGCACTACCAGCTCATGGCAGAATGTATGTTAGACTGAGGGAAAAGCTGTTTTAAGATTTCAGGAACACTCACTATTCTGTTATGAATAGCTGTTGTGAATCAGAAGCATAAGATGGTTCAAATTCATATTGTTACTTTTTAGCCATAAAAAATTACTTTGGATTCAAGTCCACAAAAAAAAATACATGCTGCAACATGTTTAGAGACAAACGCCTAAAAATGCAGTGTATATTTATTAGATTACAACTCCTACATAAATTGTAACTTGAAGAAAATTCTGGGTTTTTTTTTTAATTCCAATTAAACCACATGAAATGTATTTACTATTCCTATCAAAAGGGATTAACCTTGAATTTAAAATACTAAAAATTATTCTGCCAGATACTATTTTCATAGCAATGTGAATTCTGAGACAAAGGACAGGGTATGCTGGAGATGCAAGGTGATCTGACTACACTTGTGTTGTCAAGGACATTGACATACAGCCCCAGGAAATCAGGGAAATGCTGCTGAGAAGAATGCAGAGAATCTTAATTATTATCTGGATGAGGACTGCATTGTTGGTCTCTCCTTTTCTTAGGACAACTGACCGCTGTAGAATATGGTCAGTGAGGATCTACAACAAGGACTGCAAAAAATACCCCAAATCATCAGACATCTCATGCCCCTGAGTGGGAAGGCACTCAGTATGACCCATGAGAGATGCAGGAATACAAGTACAGAGAGTCAGTAGGTATGACTGATAATTTCAGTTTACATTTTTTGAAAAAAAGCTCCTCTTCTTCTCAAGTCTGCAGAATTCTTTCTGACCAGATTTCAAACTCCAGACTTCTTTTTTTTTTTTTTTCCCTGAGTCTTTGTACATATGGGACTGTTTTCATGTGAGAGCAAGGATTAATTTTCACATTATTTTGAGCTGTCCACAATGTTTCAAATGTTGCTCTTTACAAAATAGTGACAGTCTAATCTAACCTAATCTAATCTAACCTCTCTGCAGCAAAACATTCTCTTCAACTGACCTTCAGATTACTGGGGAGAAGGAAAAAAAATAAGATATGTTGTATCTGACGCAGTTTTAAATGAAGGTTTTGAGTTAAAAATACTTGTCTAAAATACTGTAATAACTTATGTTACAAAGGGAGGAAAAAACAAACAAAATTGGTTACATATATCTTGACTGGTTTTCCGTTTTTCTCATAAGCATCTGTTCGTAAACTTTTATAACAGCAGCTACGCCCTGGCTTGGTAGAGAAAAAGGATTTAAAGCTATAAATTCTCACAGCAAAGATAATTTTTATGCGACTTCTCTCCTTTCTCCATTCTAGAAAAACGGGAGTTTCGGAGAGCACGCCGACCACTTGAACAGGCGCCCCTGAACATCTCGCTGCGACTCAATCAAAGATGTGTTCGCCTCGAGGTCTCCTGCGAAGTATTTGGCTCTCAAGTGAGGGCAGGCACAAAAGCAAGTGACACAGCGAGCCCAGTATTAACTGGGAGCCGTCAGGAGAAGTGACCGTTCGCTATTTCTAATTACAGCGGGAGCACAACGCGCTTCTGCATATTGTTCAAAGCGTTGCCCGTAACTCGTTCGCTATTTCTGGAGCCACGGGCCGTGCTAAACGCCTGTG